GCTTTGTAAAAAAAAATGTAGATTTCAAAACGGATGAACTGATTTGCATTCCCACCAATAGTGTACAAGAGTTTTCTTTTCTCCACATCCTCACCAATACTTAACCATTCATGCTTTTAATTATAGCCATTCTAATAGGTATGAAATGATATCTCATTGTGGTTTTAATTTGCATTTCCCTGATAATTAGAGATGTTGAGCATTTTTTTTTCATATATCTATTGACCAGTTGTATCTCTTCTTTAGAGAAATGTCCAAATCTTTTGCCCATTTTTAATGAGGTTATTTGTTTTCTTGCTATTATTGAGTTCCTTATATATTTTGAATATTAGGTCTTTACCATATGTGTGGTTTGCAAATACTTTCTTGCAATCTATGGATTGTCTCTTCACTGTGCTTTTACCTTTGCTGTACAGAAGCTTTTTTGTTTGATGCAATTCCATTTGTCTATTTTTGCTTTTGTTGCTGTGCTTTTGGAATTCTTTCCAAGAAATCATTGCCCAGACCGATGTCATAGAGCTTTTCCCTATGTTTTCTCCTAGTAGTTTTATAGTTTCCAATCTTATGTTTAAGTTTTTTATCCATTTTGAGCTGATTTTGTATATGATGTGAGACAAGAGTTCCATTTCATTCTTCTGTATATTGATAACCAATTTTCCCAACACCATTTATTGAAGAGACTATCCTTTCCTCATTGTGTGTTCTTGACACCTTTATTGAAAGCCAATTGACCATAAATACTTGGGTTTATTTCTGGGCTTTCTATTCTGTTCCACTGGTCAACATGTCTATTTTTATGCCAATACCATGCTATTTTGACCACAATAGCTTTAAAATATATTTTATAACCAGAGAGTGTGATGCCTCCAGCTTTCTTCTCTTTGCTCAAGATTGCTATGGCTAATTTTGGGGTCTTTTGTGGTTTCATATGAATTTTAGGGTTGTTTTTCTATTTCTGTGGAAAATGACATTGGAATTTTGATAGAGATTGCATTGACTCTGTAGATCGCTTTGGGTAGTGTGGACATTTTAACAATATTAATTATTTCAGTCCATGAACATGGGATATCTTTTTATTATTTGTGTCTTCTTCAATATCTTTCAATATTTTATAGTTTTCAGTATACAGATTTTTTTTACCTCCTTGGTTAAATATACTCCTAAGCATTTTATTTTATTTTTTGATGCTATTGTGAATGAGATTGTTTTCTTAATTTCTTTTGCAGATAGTTTGTTGTTAGGGTATAGAAGCACTATTTATTTTTGTATGTCGATTTTGTAACCTGCGACTTTACTGATTTTGTTTATTACTTCTAACAGTGAAATAACCCAGACACAGAAAGATACTGTATGATCTCACTTATATGTGGAATCTAAAAAAGTCAATCTCATAGAAACAGAGAGTAGAATGGTGTTTACCAGAGGCTGCAGGCTGGGGAAGGAAAATGGATACGTTAATTAGCTTGATGTGATATTTCTACAATATGTACAAAAATCAAAACATCACATTGTACCCCATAATATACACAATTATTAATTTTCAATTAAAAATAAAATAAAACTAAAATGTAGGTTTCAGAAAGTAGAATGTAGTATAATAGATAAACACTAAGGTTGGATTTTGGCCCTTTTATTAGCAGTATTACCTTTGAGAAGTTCACTTAACCTCTCTTAATCTGTTTCCTCTATAAAATGAAAAAGTTTTAACAAATCTGTGTTTCCCAAACTCTGAAACCCACTCAAGATTACTAGAGATGATTTTAGGTGGCATACGAGATCATTTTAAGCATTGACTTGATGAAACATTAAAATAAACATTGAATCACATAGTGAGAAAGTTACTCCTTTTTCAGTCTTTCAGATTATGTCAAAGAGAAAGTCTGAATTTTGTATCGAGATATCTTTAATAGCTCTCTAACACTGGGTAATCATTCAGGGGGGAAGGAGGGTGGGTATGTACTATGACTCCTCCACTCCTTAAGAGTTTCCACAGAAGTCAAATTAATTCCTTAGAAGGGAAAATTACAAAAGTTCTTTTTGGCTCTTTCTGTTTACCTCATTTCCCTTCCATTTGGAAGGAAAGTAGTGTGTTATCCAACCAGTGAGTTTGGGAGGAGGAACCAAACATGTGAGTCACACCCCCTTCTGGCTTCTCTCACAATGTGGCCCATTCTCAGAAGACATGCTTCTTCCCCTTCACATGTAGTAGGCTTTGAGTGACAAACTCTTCTCAGAACAGGGTGGGGACTATTAGAAAACCCATGAAGCCATAAATCCAAACCACAAAATCACATTTTGTAATTCATCTTTATTGATTATCAAGCTGATATTTTGGTTACCATCCTATTCTTCTCTCTATTTCTCAGTTGGTTTCAAATTCATAGGAGACACAAGGAGGAAAGCAATTATCACCCTTTAAGACCTCACTGATAATCTCGCTTTTTAACAGAAATCCGGCTTGGGCTTAGAGTTCTCAATAAGCTATAGCATCCATTTAGATAGAATTTAGTAACATGGTTTTGTTTTCAGTGAATTTATATTTAGAGTTAAGATCTATAAAATAATTTAAGTTTTAAAAACTGTATCAGTTTTCAAAATATTAAATAGTATAGATGGTACAGGGATATGGTAAAAATCATAAAGATGGTACACAAATAACTAAAATTTAGAAAACACTGAATAAGATTATTTCTAGGATTTTTTCAGATTAAAATTCTTTTAAAGCTGTATTCCAATAGAATATAAAATATATGATAAGCCAAGGAAAAAAAGGAGCCTTCTAACATAGCATGTATTATGTTGTTTTCTTTCATATTGAAATATATCATTATTGAGGAATCTAAGCTTTTATTCTGTGCCAGTTTTTTTATTTGTAAATGTAAACACCTTTTTAAAAATATTTTACTAGGCGGTAAAGGCAGTACTGATATCTTTTTGATAGCATGTTTGTTGGTGATGTTTTGTTTTGTTTGTTTGTTTATTTTTCTTTCACTGAAATCAGTCTAGTCCGGGTGAGGTTTTTGAGCTGGAAATCTTGAGTAGTTGTTACTTGGAGGGCAAGAACCATGTCATCACTAATATACCATGCCTAATGCAGTGTTTGGCACATAGTAATGTTCACTAAATATTTGAACAAGTGAATAAATGAATGAACAAAGAATCAATGAAAATAAACTGAGTTCTCTTTCTTGAAGGTGTGGACATAGTTTTCATTTCTTTCAGAAAGCCATTAATAGGGCAAGCTATAAGGAAGTTGAGGCTTTGGGACAATTAGAGGGTAACACTTTCATGTAAGTAAAATTTGGAGCTAGTTATACTGAATATTACCTTGTTACCTGAATATTCCTGGTTATTACCTTGTTAGGAAGAAATTGCAAGAGGAAGCCATCCCTACTACTTTTGCTTTTGCTTATAGAAAACAGAATTTTTGGTCATATGTGAAAGGCTGGGGTCTTCCTTTCTTTTTCTCTGTATTTATTATTTTAAAAAGAACTACCTTTACCCCTTCCTTTTTTATTCTTCCTTTTCTGTCTAATACATGTACTGCTCCTGCTATCATCTCCGCATGAGGGAAAGCACCCTAGTTTTCCTTGCCTTGTGGGAGACTATTACAGTTTAATTTAAAATGCAACCTGTTCTTTCCTCTCACGCTCTTAATTATAGTTTCGCATCTGATAAAGGTGCCCAACTCTTAACTGGCGCCCTAGATGAACTGCAATACTGATGGTAAATTTTTTATTGCCATTTATTCATATAACAAATGTCATGTTTCAAGGATTTTGTTCTAAGAATCCTGAAATGAATTTTACATATCAGAGAGAAAATATTAACCAGTGGTTATTAACCAAACTGGCTTCTAATAACCATGCAGTTGGTTTGATTGACTACATTCCCAGATCACTTAATTTATTTTAAAACATTTTGCATATATACAGAAAAACAGAATTTGAAGACTGTATTTCATTCTAGTGAATACATTTTAAACATATTCTAGGTTTATTCTCAATAAGTATGTTCTTTCTTTAATGGTGTAGTGATTTTGATTCTAATTCATTATGCACAATGACAACATCTTAACTAGAATTATTTTGTATGTTTAGGTTAATATTTTTTGCTATTGAAAATTTAACTCAGTACATTTTATGACAGTAAAATCTCTCTGCCTGGTATCTTTGTGTCTCCCAGTTATTAGTATGTGGTCTTTAAAATATAAAATAAACTCTAGGGGTGCTGGCTATTGCATTTTGGTTTATTCTTATCATTGTATTATAAGGTTGATAGAATAGCAGTAGCATTATGATACATGAAGTTGAATTATGAAAGTAATCATCTGTAAAAATTGGCATCAAACCTCTGTTTGAACTTTAATATCCAGGTAAATAAGCAACACAGAGTCTCTTATTATCACAATTGAAAATACAATAGGTCTATTTTGGACAAGAAAAGAAGATTTTAGAATTATCTAAATTTTTTTTCTTCAAAAGATATAGATGCTTGGCTTATAATTGTAATCTTTAGGTATCCACAGAGTCATCATGCACTGTCATGAAAGTAATGCAAGAGCAATTTGCTATAGTGACAAGCTGGAAGTTTTGAGAACACTTTATTGTCTAATTCCAAAAAAACAGTAACAAAAAACAGAACTTTGCTAGCTGTCTGTGTCTACTGGCAATATGGTTATTCTCTGATTAGATACTTTGAGTGCCGGATGCCATCCTTCTCTTGGGGTATGAGGTGTTGATATGACAGCATGTTATGATAGAAATTTTTAGAAAAGGTCATGGGATCAAGAGGCAGACCAACCTGCATGTGAAATTCAGCTCTGCCATTTTTGCTCTGGTACCTTGGGCAAATTACTTAACTTCTTCTGTAAAGTAAAAATTATAATACTTCCTTAGAGGTGCTATGAGGACGAAAGCACCCAGAGTGAGTTCTTGTTGAGTGGTAGATGTATGAGAAATGTAGTGCGGTAATGATGATATGTTTTGATATTCTGTTAGGTGAAGTGAAAGACAAAAATGTTCAAGTGGTCGAGCTCCCTATCGTAGACAGTCTTCATCCGCGCCCTCCCTATCTACCCTTGGCTGTACCAGAAGACCTCGCAGATCGACTTGTACGTGTCCATGGCGATCCTGCAGTGTGGTGGGTGTCCCAGTTTGTCAAATATTTGATCCGCCCACAACCTTGGCTAGAAAAGGAAATAGAAGAGGCCACCAAGAAGCTTGGCTTCAAACATCCAGTTATTGGGTAAGAATCTGATTTTTTTTCTCAAATAGTGATAGATAGTAACAGGGTTATGAACCTTTACAATATGGTGTGAACTTTATAATAGAGTTAAATTTTAACAGCCCCACCAAAGAACAGAGGTTCGAGAGTTCACCTTAGAGCACAGAAACTATTCTTGCTTTGTTCACTTAGAACAGCTAAGAAAATTGCTTAGTAGCTTTCTGCTACTGTGTCAAATGTTCCTCTTCCTTTGGCTCCTATCATTACAGGTCTCTTTTGTTTTTATTTTTATTTCATATTTCTTGCCCCCTTGTGTCTTAGTCTTCATAGGTAGAGAAGTTACTGACCCCTAGTCTAAGTGTTAGAGCTAAAGAAAGACATGTGAAATCAGAATATCAAATATTGTTTCTTCTCATGGAACTTTTCATTGAAATTCAGTGGAATCATTCTTTCTGCCCCACTTCATCTCTATAGAGCACACTGAACAATTCCAGTTTCCCCGGAGAAGGGATGATTAGGAAGAATATGGGAAGGAAAAGATGATAGAATAGATGTGCATGTGATAGTATCCACATCTGGGCTATAGCCTGGAATACAAAGGAAAGAATAGCAATGGAGATGACTAAAGTAACTCCAGTAAAATCAAACCTTCATTCCAGATTAATAATAAAAACCTGGCCTTCGGCTTGTCCTAAGGCATGCCTATATGCTATGACCTAAACGGAAACAAATCTACTTTTTTCCTTTTTCTGCATATGAATAGTGATTTAGTAATTTGGGGGAACAAGGAGGACAGATTTGAGGACAATCTTCTAATTTATGAAAACATACTATGACTGTTATTATTCTTATTTCCATTAAAATTACTTCAAAAGCACTAAGGTGGTAGGAGAATACTGTGGAAGTTGGTGCCTTCTTCAGTACAGGACAATGTAAATCTATGTCCCTAATTTTACAATTTTGGGACCTTTCTTAAACAGGACAGATAAAATCAGTATCTGCTTGTGTTTGATGAAGTGAAAAACAAAGAAAGGAAATTCATTATGCACAAAACAATAGGGCTGGATTGGCTCCATTTGTTTAAAATAATAAAAACCCTTAAAAGATTTGCCTTAACTGTACTATTGGAAAAGTCCACGTGTTTTCCTTGGGCAACTTTAAATTCTATGAGCTGTCAGTTATAGTGACTTTACAGAGTAAAATGAAGGAAAAAAAAAAAAAAAAACCCTTAACATCAGAACTTTACAAACAATATCTTTCATGTTATATAATAACAACTGTGAATCCTGGTATCATTTTGGTCTCAAAAATCTTAAAAGTTATATCCAGTTTTTTCTGGACAACTGGTTGGTATTGCTGCCTAGTATGAAGTACAACTCTGGAATCTCCCATTTGTTCCTGACATGCCAATTGCTTTCTCTGTAAGAAAGCGTTCTTCAAGGCTTTACTTATTTTCTAATTCCCCTCGCATTGTTTAACCTGCAAATATATTTAGCATATATGTGTTTCAGTTTTTTAATAATATTTTTTCCCAATGGTGAAAATGAAAGAAAAATTGGTTAAAATGCCTGTAATGCCACCATGAGTAGGGATATAAATTGAGTACCCAGAAAGCACCCAGTGCATCAGTACATTATCAACAGAGTCTGAATTTCTCCTCCAGAGTGCATGTTAGACGCACAGACAAAGTGGGAACAGAAGCTGCCTTCCATCCCATTGAGGAATACATGGTGCATGTTGAAGAACATTTTCAGCTTCTTGCACGCAGAATGCAAGTGGACAAAAAAAGAGTGTATTTGGCCACGGATGACCCTTCTTTATTAAAGGAAGCCAAAACAAAGTAAGTTAGACCAAATCGTGATTCTAGAGTGGGATTGTCTCTTTTAGTTGAAAAGAATCCTCAATTCCCATGACTTGTGACTCTTGTTATAATATTATTGGGGTTTCAAAAATTCAAATGACTGGCCGGGCGCGGTGGCTCACGCCTGTAATCCCAGCACTCTGGGAGGCCGAGGTGGGTGGATTGCTCAAGGTCAGGAGTTCGAGACCAGCCTGAGCAAGAGCGAGACCCCGTCTCTACTAAAAAAATAGAAAGAAATTATCTGGACAACTAAAAATATATATATATATAGAAAAAATTAGCCGGGCATGGTGGCACATGCCTGTAGTCCCAGCTACTTGGGAGGCTGAGGCAGTAGGATTGCTTGAGCCCAGGAGTCTGAGGTTGCTGTGAGCTAGGCTGAAGCCATGGCAATCTAGCCCGGACAACAGAGTGAGACTCTGTCTCAACAACAACAACAAAAAAAAATTCGAATGACTGTGTTCTTGTTAATCTAATCAAAGGATGTTTTATTAGCCATATCTGACAATGCCTTGTGATAAGAAATCCAAAATGAACCAGACCACTGACTTATGCACCAGTCATAATCATTATTATTATTAAAAGTATCACCCACTTCTTGGTGCCAAAATCTGCATTGGTCTACTAGAGCTGCTATACAGCTGCTATACAAAATACCATAGACTGGGTGACTTAAAAAACAGAAATTTATTTCTCACAGGGAAATAAGGGAAGACTGGGAAGTTGAAGATAAAGGTGCCAGCAATGTAGATTTCATTTTCTCTTGGCTTGTAGGCAGCCACTGTCTCACTGTGTGATCACATAACCTCTTCTTTGTGTGTGGGGAGAGAGGAAGCCCAAGCTCTCTGGTATCTCTTCTTGTAAGGTCATTAATTCCATCATGAGGGCCCCCACCCTCATAGATGTCATCTAACCCTAATTACTTGCCAAAGGCACCCCATTTCCAAATACCATCACATTGTGCTTAGGAATTCAACATATGAATTTGGGGGCGCATAAATATTCAGTTCATAACACTAACCAAGTATACAGAACTGTTAGCAGTAAAACACACCAGGTGCTTACTCTTTTTATCTCACTGTCTTCACTGACAGTTATAGGCAACTGAACAAATATGTACATAAAGAGTTTTTGTCTTATAAAAATTTCTGGAATTTGGAAGTTACTCTAAAGACAGGTGAAGAATCAAAAGATGTGTTTTGTTAGTGAAGGAATAAAGAATACTACTCGTATGTATTGAACAGTAACCATAATTTTTTGAGCCTGCCTGTATTTCAGGTACTATGCTAGGTGCTGAGTATTCCATGATAAGCAAGATATGCCCTGCTTGCAAGGACTTCCCAGCTCTAGCGGGGGAACAGACAATTGCACTACAGTGTGAGTAATGCTACTATAGGGTTACTTAGCATAGGGTGTTATGAAAATACATAGACAAAACACTGATCCTAATTGTACTTTTCTTATCATAGAATCTGAATGAACCTGGAGTTGGCCTTCATTTACTATCAATAAATAAAGGATATATTAAGTGTATATGAAAGGGAAGGAGGAAGAAGAAAATTGTAGTCCTAGCTGTGCTCAGATACCATCTCCTCCAGAAATCATCCCTGATGCCTTGACTGGGTTGTTTCCCTCCTCTGTCATAGTGTTTAGCACTTGCTTCTGTCTTTCTCACTGGATTATAGGCACGTTGGACACAATACCTAGCTCTTGTAGGTGTCCAATAAATATTAAATTGTGTTAATTTCAATCCCATCAGTTTGAAAACAGCCGTTAATCATTTAAGCTATTTGGCTATTTAATTAATGTATTTATTGGTCCCTTTTCTATAGCATAAATAGGAGTGGGGAAAAGAATCAGATTTAAAATGAGGACTATAATGCAGGTATTAATCCAAGTCATTGTATAATAATTTAAATCCTATTTCTACCTCCTGAGAATCCAAATTAACCTGATGCAAATTGCCTTTTTAATTTTAAGGCTCCCTTTCTAGAGCACACATACACTTGCACACACATGCCTGTGTGTATGTGTGTGTATACAGAAGGCCAAGAAATTTGTCAACCAAGTATAAAAATGAGTTAATACAAGAGTTAGGGATTAAATGAACATTTGGGCACAAAACATAATAAAAATTTCACACACACCTTTCCAGTTTAATGTTCAGATCTACTAGAGAAAAACCAAGTAGTAATAGTTCACCATGTTTTTTCATTTTAAAACACCAGACTGAATTTGTAGCTTGATTGAAAAAAAAGATATTAATTTTGTCTGCTCTTTCACTTGTTCTTAAATGCATCATAAGCTTTTTTCCTTTTTTCTTTGATTTTAAAAATAATTCACATTCATTAGAAAATATGGTAGTTGGTAAATACACAATATATAATCACAATATATAATACACAATATATAATCCACAATCCCATTTATATAGCCACATTTTTTAATACAGTCATGCACCACATAATGTTTTGGTCAGCCACAGACCACATATATGACGGTTGCCCATAAGATTATAATACAGTGTTTTTATAATACTGTATTTTTACTGTACATTTTCTGTATTTAAATATTTTTAGATACACAAATACCATCATGTTACAGTTGCCTATGGTATTTAGTACAGTAACACACTGTACAGGTTTGTAGCCTAGAAGCAATAGGTGTGCATATATATATGCACACACACACACACACACACATACATATATATGTAGCCTAGGTATGGTATAGATGGCTATACCATCCAGGTTTGTGTAAATACATTGCATAATGATAAAATCACCTAATGACACATTTCTGAAAACATCCCCATCATTAAGCGGCCCATGACTGTAGTTGATCGTATTCTAAATAATTTGAACTCTTTTTCACTAAATACAACAAGAGATCCATTTTCTCAAGTTGCTAAAAATGTCTACATATCCACTATATGGATATGCCATTGCTTACTTGACCAGCCATTCTCCTAATATTGGATAGTTAGGTTATTTCCAATTTTTTACTCTTATAAATAATACTAAGAGTTATGTTTTTTTATGTAATTTTTTTAAATTTCTGCATATTATGGCAGTACAAATGTTTAGCTTACATTGCCCTTCCCTCCCCCCCAGACAGAGCTTCAAGCGTGTATGAGTTATGTCTTAAATTATCTGCATTATTTCCTTCAGCTGGATTTCTAAATTTGGAAGTACTTAGATAAAAGAATATAAACATTTTATAGCTTTGATCTATAGCACAGCCCAACATTTTTTATAGAAATAACCCTTATAGTACAGTTGGCGGTATCTACTTGGACTTCGGGAATAGTAAAACTTGAGTTCCCTCTTTGTAGTCAGCAGCTATAACTCATTTCCCATTGGTAGTCCAGGCAGCAGTTTTTTCCATATTCTGTTATAAATGTAGTAGTAGTATTTTATGCATAATTTTTTTCTCTTTGGAAATCCTTTTATTTTAGCTTTCTGAGTCATTTCAACAGATATTCTCAGGAATTTAAATGCTGTTTCTTTTTCCTTCATTCTTTTACTTAAATGTTTTTCCACTTTGAATTAACTCTGCTTTAGACCCCTCAGGATTGATTTTGATACCTTAACAAATCATAAAATCTCAGGCATTATTTTAGGAGACCAAAAGCATGAATTAATCTCTCCACAAGTATATAATGGCCAATGTAATCATTATAATACTTTTTTGCTTCAAGAGGGTAAAGAAATGAAGAATTAAACTTAAGTGATGTATAGGGTTGACACAGAAGAAAATCCATTTTCTGGGTAGCTTATCCTTTGAAAAAGGGGTCATAATCAGCTTTACGCATATGGCTTCTATATGAAAATGAGCAGTTAATGCTTTGTGGCTTGGTATTACACCTCAGATTTCTCTAGGTTAAGATTGAGTTCATGAGGTTCTATCACCAACATCCCAGTGACTGTGGAAGCCATTCTAATGTGGCAATATTTTAAGTAACTCACTATTAGAATGTTTAAATTACAGAGTCATTGGCAGTCAAAGAAATAAAAACTGTTAGAGTTGGCTATCTGATACTGTATTCTAAGATTATGGAGACTGGAGATGGGTGAAACAAGAAGAAAAACAAGCCTTTAAAGATCTCCCAGAGAAAATATTTACATATTTTGTTTGTTCTTTATAAAAAATGCTGGAGGAGCTGTTCCTAAAATTAGGTACATCGAAATGAGTCAAGGCAAGAAAAATTGTTAGAAAGCTTTTGTAAAGTGTTTGATTGCCCTGTGAAATGAAGAATTAGCACTGAGTGGTACTTTTGTTCATTATTGTTCTTCTGTAATATGCTAGACACAGTACAGGGCACTAGGAATACAAAGACAAATGGAAGATAATGTATGGCTCCTTATCTCAGGGAGTATCCAACTGGTAGGTAAGATACATGTAACAAATAGGTAAGTGTCCCGAAGGTGTCATATGCTAGGTACAGTGAAATCACAAAGAGTTGTATCTCTCGGTCTGGACAAAAACTTCAGAGAAAAGAAATTTGTTATTAATTTATAACTGCAAGCTAGTCATTTGTGAGTGATATAAAAATAAGTTTGTGTAAGATGGAAAAAGAAAATTTCTTTTATCATTGCCAATCTGTGGAACCACAAGATAGAAGAATTCCTCTGCTGACATGGCAAAAGATAAGAACCATGTCTGTGCAGAAAGTTCCATGCTTATTATTAGAAGTGCAAAATCTCTTTCTCCCATTATTTACTTCTTTTTTATTTGTTTTTTTCCATTCTTGGTATCCTTCATGAAACCATCTTTTGCGTGTAGAGATAGGCCTGAGGACCCCCTTTCAGTTTGGTTCTAGAGAAGGGCCTTAAAGTTAAGGCCATTAATGTTAGTGTTACTTCTCAGTAAATGAATCACCCCTTTCTTTGTTTCACTGAGCAAACTAAATGGGTAATATTTTCTCTGGGAGATTTTTAAAGGCTTGTTTTTCTTCCTGTTTCACCCCATCCCTAATCTCCACAATCTTAGAAAACTATATCAGAAAGCCAACTCTAATAGTTCTTATTTCTTTGACTGCCGATGATTCTGTGATTTAAACACTCTAATAATGAACACTATTAGACACCCAAACCGTGCTGACAAAGTTAGTCATTACTCAGGGATAAACCTATACTGGTTTTATTAGTTTCCCCTCTCCTCCAGCCTCCATCATTTTCATATTTATTTGTTGCTGTTTTACCCCATGCCCGAGTGTGCAACTTCACGGGGATCACATTAAAAGTATTTCTGGTTGTTTTCTTTTTAGAACAAATGTGGCATTTTCTTCATCTCTCTGATTCTGAGCTGAGGAGGGCAAACTATAAAAAATAATGAGGACAAATAGATCTGAACACTAAAAAGCAGTCTGAAATAGTGCTCAGAGACTTTGCCTTTATAGTCATTATTAGAGAGGCAAAGAGGGAAAGCTCCTTGGTGGCCATGAAATGAAGAGAAATCTGAAGCAGCTGTTATGGGATTAGGAAAAGTCCCAGACATAGGTAGCATTCACTTGTTTGTGTTTATTCACACAGCATTGTGTGAAGTGCTAGGTCCTGTGATGCAAAGGAAAGTAAGGAATGATCCTAACCTTTGGGGAATACTGTTTGGAAGACAAACATATAAGCTGACTCTGAATGTTTCAGGGTTGCTAAACAGGAACTATTATTCTTTCAGCAGATAATGTATTCATTCATCCTCTATTATTTTCCAGATTCTCTTCTAGATGCTGAGAATAATACAGTAAACAAAGCAGAATACGTGCATCCCTTTATAGCACTTATATTCCAGTTAGAGATGATGGAGGTGGGGAATGGATGCAGGCAGGAAACAAATAGTGACTGCGTATTATATCGAATGATAAAAAGAGCTATGGAGAAAAATTAGGCAGCTAAAAGGGATAGGGATTGCCATATTCGTCACTGATAAGGTGATATTTAAGCAGAGATCTAAAGAAATCAGGAATAAAATTAGGTGCATGTCAAAGGGAAGAATGTTTAATAATCACAGCTAATAAT